TGTGATTGCTAGTATCACTCAGCCCTCTGTGAGTAGTAAACAGCCATCAGTGTGCTAATGATCCTTTGTTAGGCTGATGGTCCTTCTTGAGCATGTGATCAGCTGGTTTTGGTTGTCAGCAGCAAAACTGGTTGATCCACTCTGAAGAAGGTACTATTTAAGAGACTGAGCTGAAAACAGCAGCTCAGACTGAGGAAGTCTCTTGGATGAGAGACGAAACGTTTCTACATTTATTATTTTTTTTTGTTGCTTTCTTTTGTTTTTTGTTTTTTTGAATGTCCAGAGGACCAGATTGAACTTTTTTGGAAAGTTGGGAATAATGCTTTTGTCTGTCATGAATTTATACATTTGTCTAGAGATGCACGATATTATCGGCATGGTATCGGCTGATATTAGTGTTAAAGTTAAATATCGGACATCGGCCATTTCATCAAAATAACTCACCGATATAAAATACGTTGTTTTTGTATGACAACCCAGTGACAAGGATGCCTGCAGCGGCAGCACAACGTGATGACGTCACACGCGCCTACCTGATCTGATCATGGCGGAGAGGAAAATTCAAAATGTCTGCCGTGTGGAAGGTTTTTTTCATTGAGGATGTCGGATTCCAAAGATTTTACGTTGAGCCTCGTTACATCCTCCCCAGTCGGAGATATTTTTCCAACGTAACCTTACCCGAGTTACAAGCCGACATTTTCCATATTTGATTTTTAAAACAGACTGCTTTTTAAATATAATATAGATAATTGTTTGAAAGATCTGATTGAAAGTAAAACCCTGTAAAGTTTTAATAATGTCATCTGAACACCCTGAAAACTTAAACTTCATTAGAAAAACAAGACAGAGGACTTTCTAATCCGTCTCAAACAACATTTTATGGAAAATAAAAACACACGTGCACATCTAGCTTGCACACCGTGCAGCTTCACCTTGAGTTTCTTGAAAGGCCAGAGCTTGGGCCGCAGTTTTGGTGGGTTGAGGGTGGATTCTGAGTTCGCTGGTTTGATTCCCTGGGAATAGTCCTCAAACTCCAGGTCTGCAGGTCGTTCAAAACCAGACTTGTGTTGCTCTATGAAGAGTAATGAGTCCTGCTCAAGAACAAATCCAGAAAGGTTTAGTTACAGGTTTTATGGAAGCTCATGGCCTCATTTTTACCAGCAAATGTTCAGCTGAAGCCCACTGACCGATAAATATATGTACGCAGCATGCAAGTTTCAGAAAATGTAAACTACCTAAGCAAATAAAAACATCCTCAGCACAATATAAAAACTACAAACCTTGGTTATCACTTTAGGGTGTAGATGCAGTAATGCAAAAGTGTAATTGATCAAAGAAGTGGTGAAGGAGAAGAAGCAGCAGAGGGGTGAGTAAAACCAGATCTCTGCTTCCTGTCTGGACCCTGGATTGTTAGCAAACTGAAGGACTAATAAAATCTGATCATCTCAATCTAAAGGGAGATGAGTAGCATTTATCAAACCAGGTTTTCTCCAAAATGTCTGCCAAGATTTTATTTTGTAGCACGCACACTGTTTTCTGGTACCACTAACGAACAACAACATGCCAGAGACGACGTCATTGCTGGTCAGGCTGGGGATGGAACCAGAGAAAATCATGGAGTCTGACATTAATCTGATAAAGTTACATACCAGAACAACATTAATTTTTAGAGACATTTGATTGGTGTAATTGGGTTCATTACCAACCATGCGAACAACAATCTTACTGTATTTATGCTTAGCATTGGTCAGCAGTTTCAAATAGGATTTATTGCAGAAATGCCACATTTCAGAATATGGAGCTGCCAAGCTCCAGTCATTAAAAAAACAGGATTTGAAACATGAACAGGTTGGTTGTGAACTGGGGGCTTAGCCTTAGCTCTATGATTATTGGGAACCATTAGCCTGATGACCTCGTTATGGATGCGCTGAAGGTAGGGTTGTTAGCTCTCAGATATTGGTTTCTCAGATTACAGTTGGTTGGTTTTCAAACTCTCTCAGGTCAGAGCCAATGTGTTCAACATAACGGTACTTGATCTAGCTACCTAATGGTCACTAATGGTGTTCCACAAGGCTCAGTTTTAGGACCCACTCTTTTTTACAATTTATATAAGTAATGTAGGTCAAAACATTCCTGATGTATCCTCGCATCTCTATGCTGATGATACAATTGTTTATTGTCAAGCTAACACAGTTGCAAAGGTTTTCCAGCTTCTACAGTCTGCATTTGACATCATTCAGTCAGACAAATTCCATCTCAAACTGGTGCTAAATGCTGATGAAACCAAGGGAGTGTTGTTTTAAAACAGAAAGAAGGTGCCAGCAGTTCTTCCTCTTACCTCATTCATGCATCATGTTCCTACTGAGTTTGTGGATTCTTATAAATACTTGGGAGTTTTAGTTGATGAACATCTCCTTTTAAACCACATATCGAAAATTTGATAAAGAAACTGAAATTAAAACTGTTTTTCTTTTTTTTTTTTTTTTTTCAGAAATAGATCTTGCTTAACTCTGAATGCCAGAAAACGCCTTGTAACTGCAACTTTCCTACCGGCCATTGACTATGGTGACATTATTTGCATGAATGCTCCTGCCAGCTCCTTGCAGATGTTGGATGCTGTCTACCACGGGGCACTAAGATTCATAACTGGTTGTAACTACCGTACCCATCACTGCACTATTGGTCAGTTGGTCATCATTATCTTCACATAGGCTCTCACACTGGTTCATGTTCATCTAGAAATCAGTCCTTGGTCTGCTACCTTCTTATATCTCCTCCCACATGTCACACCATCAGTGCAGTTACAGCGTGCACTCTCAGGCCATCATTGCCTGCAGCGTCCCCTTAGTGCAGAATGAACTTGGCAAAAAGGCATTTTCCTACTCTGCTCCTGTTTCCTGGAACACCTTGCAACAGGAACTGAAGTCATCCACTTTAATGTCTTTAGGGTATTTTAAACATTTGATAAGGTCAATAGAAACATCAAAGCAAATATGTTCTTGTTTTTAGTATTTTACTTTGTTTTATATGGCACCTTGATTTTATTGTTTTATAACTACTTTTATTTGAATTGCATTTTATTCTAGTTAATTCTTGTCTATCTTATATGTTGTCTGTCTAAAACAGGTCTCTCTTGTGAATGAGTCCTCGTGACTCAATGAGATTAACCTGTATAAATAAAGTTTGAATGAAAAAAAACAACAGCTGTCCTTTAAATCAAGGAATAATCATGGATGGATAAAAAAAAACATGCTTTTTATTTAGTTGATAAGGAATGCATCTTTGTTCATTAGCTTTAAGAGTCAGTACAAATCTGATTATAGGTATGGAACAGGTGAAACTGTAATAAGAATTAATCAAATCAGAAATAATTAACACTGCAAGGAAGAGTGGTGAATTCAAGCTGTTTTTAGTAAAGCAAAAAGCTGTCAAACTTTTTCATCAGTAGATGATTTCTCAGTTGCTTTTCACCAGATCAGACGTGTGCTGGTTGTGACACTGGAACAAAGTCACAGGTTGTCAAAGCATCCTCAAACACTTGCCTGTTTCTCATTAACTTTGGCTCCTGATGCAGACATTCCCTCGAGACACCTGCTGATGATGGGATGGACCTTCTTCTCAAAGTCTGAAAACTGGCAGTAGCCCTCGGCCAGCCTCCGGATTCTCCGCTCGTCCAAGTCCTGCAGTTTCTGTTCAGCACAAACGACCAGCAGGGGCTTTGAGTTTCCATTTTACTGATGCTGACTGCATCACTACAGTCAGCATCTGTCTGCAAACTGCAATGTGACTGCGTGTCTTTAGAATGGTTTTCATCTCACGTTATAGATCAGCGGTATCTCTACATAATAGACGCTGTTCTGCTCCTTGTTGTATTTCTGGAGCTCTGCTGCGTAGTCGTTCCTACATTCCTCTGCCGTGCGTGTGCGTGCCAAGGCGTTCTGCTTGGCCTGCAGAGCAAAGTACAGAAGGAATGACAGAAAAAATAAAGAGAAAGAAGAAAGAGATGCATATCCAAATGCAGAGGATAAAAGAAAATCGGAGAGAGACAGAAAAGTTTGTTAAATGATGATTTAGTAAAAAAAAAAAAAACAATTTTAAAATATCAAAAGTGAAACTATAGAAATTATACTTTCTGTGACAATGCAGTGTGAATGCTGAGGGCTGCAAGACTGCTGAAGTTTGCTAAAGAAGCTGAAACAGAGTTGTTTTAGCTAAACAAAGCAGAAAACCAGCTAAAACCTAAAATGAACAAAACATTAGTTTAGTGTAGTGCTAGTAAGAGCAAAACACTAGCTTAAAGCAAATAACAAAATGTTAAAAGAAGCAAAAGTTAAAATGTTAAAAAAAGTAAAAGGGTAGGAAGCTAAAAGTAGGAAAGTGGAAGCCAGACGTTTAAATAGCAAAAGGCTAGATAAAAGGAGCAATTAAATAGCCAAAACTTAGCTTAAAAAAGTAAAAAGTAGCTTAAAAGAGAAAAATAAGTACATTTTCTATATGATCTCTATGTTGATGGTAGATTTGCCTCTTTTGAGCAGCTGGTACAGAGCTTTAATATTCACAAGTCACAGTTTTTCAGATATTTGCAGCTGAGACATTTTGTGAGGTCTAACTATGATTGTTTTATTTAGTATCCCTCTAAACATTTTGTGGCTAAGATTTTGGAATGCAGGTCTGATACCAAGAGGGCCCTCAGCAAGATCTATACACTGCTCACTTAATAACATGAGACCATTGGACTCCCTTAAACTGAAATGGGAAACGGACCTGGAGGAATCCATATCAGACTCAATCTGGAGAAGGATCATTAAGAACATTGACTCATCTTCAATCTGTCTGTGATGCGCTGTAATTCAATTCAAGGTGGTGCACCGACTGCACCGGTCCAAAGACAAGCTGTCCAAGATCAAAGCTGACCTGGACCCCGCATGTAATAGTTGTAAACAGACTCCAGCTACACTCCTGCATACATTCTGGACCTGTCCCAAACTGCAGACCTTTTGGCAATCTATTTTTGACGCCTTCTCTGGGATATGTGGAAAAACTGTACATCCATCACCATTCATCTCACTGTTCAGGTGGTTCCTGTGGATACAGTTTTCAGCGAGTACGAGAAGGATGTGGATGCTTTTGGCTCTCTTCTGACCAGAAAACTTGTTTTGTGCAGTTGGAAGGACTCACCCCCCCAGCATATGTACATTGGATAAGCAAGGTGATGTATCATATCCATTTGGAAAAAAATCAGACATACCTTGAAGGGTTCTGTCAAAAGATTATGGGACACTCGGCAGCACTTTGTGTTGTACGTAGTAAACATGCCAATGCCTAGTTAATTCATTTGTGTGTGTGTGAGACTGATCCATTGTGGGAGGGAAGGGCTGGTGGTTGTGCTTTTTTTTTTTTTTTTTTGCATGTTCAAGAAAACAAAACAAACAAACAAAAAAATCAATAAAACGACTTTGATTACAAGAGAAAAATAGAGAATGTTTGTGAAAGTATAAAAAAAAACATCAATGTATTTTATGAGATAAATATTTGTGAATAATAATAAAAATTAAATATATATATATATATATATATATAATTTACAATAAATACAAAAACAAAACAAAAGTCATATATGATATATGAATGACTAAAATAGAACAAAGTATGCAAAATTAGATGACAAAAATAAAAATAGATTAAATCAGGAAAATAACAGTGAATGATGACTCAGCATCCACAAAACAGTTATTAAATTTTTTTTTTAAACAATTGTGCATGAGTGTTTACTTTCTCAACTTCAGGCTTGGTGGAGGATTGATCGTTCTCAAATTTCTCCACATGCTGGTTGGCCTTCTCTACCTCCCCCCACTCCTTGGCGAAGCGCTTTTTTGTCTGCAGGTTAAGAAGAAGACAAACACACAGAGCATCTGCTAAGTAAATACTGGGGAATTAAGTTCAACTTAAAGTATTAAAAACCAAAATTGTAAGATCAAAATGTACTTTGTTGCCCTTGCTACACATTTGTCACGGGCTCAAAAGTTTTATCAATTTAAAATAATGTGTTTGAGTGTAGATTAAGATAAAACAAATAAATCATGAACAATATTTAATTATTTTCTAGTTTACACAAATTACTCACTTATTTTCAGTAGTTTCTGGTGACAACAATTAAACTGTTGTTGTATCTTTTTTATGGCTCAACTTTTTAAAATGGGAACTTTTAGAGGAACCAAGTAAAACTAACAGCATCATTACATCATTACATGTAAAAAGGCCTTTTAGGTGATCCAGACTGAGGCCTTTAGTACTCATAATGTTTGGTAGTTTTTTTTATAATGCCAAACTAACTGGCGTTTTAGATAAACATTAACCAAAACTCATAAAATCTTGTGCACATGTCAAAAACGTTGACACAGAATTGTTTTAGAAATGACTCAACGGAGCCACATTTCCTGTGCACGGTGTAATAATTACTGATAACTTTTGTTTCTGACCACTTGCTGTATGTACTCTGAAACAATGCCTGCACATGGTTTTTGCACTCAATATATCTTTGGAAGCTACAAAATGTATTTTTTAATTAAATATATTAAATGGGTTTGTTTGTAATCAAACTCCAGAGGGCGCTTTTACCTTTTTCTGAGATGTGAGAAAATGGTAATGTTGACTGTTTGTCTAAAACATTTTTATTTTTCTAAGCGATGGTTAGAGCAGGTGTTCTCAAACCTTTTGGGTTCAGGGACCTCTTAACGGGGAGAAAAAGTTTCAGGGACGCCCTCATAACCCTCATGTTTATTAAAAAAATTTATTTAATTTGTCTCTTTAAAGCAAAGGAAATATTTGTGTAACATAAATACTGAAAACTTGTTCTTTATCAATCAACCTTTATTTATACAGGTAAATCCCATTGAGCCTCGAGGACTCATTTACAAGAGAGACCTGATTTCAACAAAGAACGATGACAACAATGGACAACAGCAACAACAATAAACTGTAAGAGTGACACTCACTGCAGCTCCAAGATGGCCGCTAATCAGCATCAGCTGACGGCTATCCACCTGATGAGCTACAACCATACTTAAGGCTGCAGTCGAGTCCTACTCTTCGCTGGAGCATTGTTCCCTTATTACGGTACTGATGCTTCCAGCCAGTCTTGTGTTTATACCAAGAAATACTTACCTTGTTTTTGTGTGCCTACAGCCATCTCGTTTCGACCTTCCTCGTTTGGATTCATGTTTTTGATGCCTTGCCCTCCTGCCACGTGCCTGACCTGCCTCTCCTCAGTGACTCAGTTGGATTCCTTCAGGACACCTCCACCTCCTCCATCTGTAAGACCAAACAAAGAAATTGAATATTATTTGAGACAACTCCTTGGCCTATCCCTTCCTGACGTTTACGCTTCCTCCTTCAGGGATTCCAGAGGAACCATCTTGTATATTTGTAAATATCACTGTAAATAATAAACACTGTCACTTTCACTACTTCGCCTTGTGTCGTTTCGGGTCTCGTTATCAACTGGGTTGCCCATAATCCTAACATAAACAGTTATAAAAAAGCATACTACAGTTTTTTTTTTTTTTTTTAACAAATAGGATGGCTAAAAGGAAAAGGTAACAAAACAAAAAACAGCTAGATTCCAAGACAAATGTAGAAAACTAAAAACAGGAACATGTCAGCATTGGACCCTGCCAGGTGTCCAACAGATTCTTAAAGACACAGAGAGACCAGAGAGGTCAAGGTCGAGAGCTTCAAATCTTTTTGTAAGATATTCCAGGAAACAGGAGCGGAATAGGAGAAGGCCCTTTTGCCAAGTTCAGTCCTCATTGAGGGAACACTGCAGGTAATAATGTCCTGAGAGCGCACTCCGTAGCTGCACTCACGCAGGGACATGTAGGAGGAGATGTATGAAGGCAACAGACCAAGAAGTGATTTAAAGATGAAAATATACCAGTGAGAGAGTCTGCGTGAAGTTAATGATGTCCAGTTAACCAGTGAATACATTGTGCAGTGGTGGGTACGATAATCACAGCCAGTTATGAATCTTAGTGCACCATGATAGACAGCATCCAACATCTGCAGGGTTCTTGTAGGAGCGTTCATGTAAATAATATCACCAAAATCAATTGAGGGAAGGAAAGTCACAGATACAAGGCGTTTTCTAGCATTCAGGGTTAGACAGGATTTGTTTCTGAAAAAGAAACCCAGTTTAACTTTCAGTTTCTTTATCAAGTTTTCCACATGGAGCTTAAAAGAGAGATGCGAGTCGACCAAGATACCCAAATATTTATAGGAATCAACAAACTCAATGGGGACACAATTTGAGGATAAAATCGGTGGAAGAACTGCTGGGACCAACTTCCTATTTGAAAAAAGCATCCCTTTGGTTTTGTCGGCATTTAGGACAAGTTTGAGGCGAAACAAATCAGTCTGGATGTTGTTGAATGCAGATTTAAAAAGCTGGAAAGCCTTAGCAACAGTTTTAGCTCGACAATAAACAACTGTGTCGTCAGCATAGAAATGTATGGATGCATTAGGGATGTTTTTACCTACATTATTTATGTAGATTGTAAAGAGGGTAGGTCCTAAGACTGAGCCTTGTGGTACACCATTGTTGACTGTTAAATAACTGGAGGAAGTACCATTATGTTGAACACATTGCCTCCGGTCTGAAAGATAGTTAGAGAACCAACCAATGGTGTGTTCTGAGAAGCCAATTTCTGAGAGTTTATGACACAAGATGTTATGATCCACAGTGTCAAAAGCTTTAGACAGGTCTAAGAAAAGTGCAGCACAATAATCCTTAGCATCCAGTGCTTCAACAACATCATTAAGAACCTTCAGTGAAGCAGTGGTTGTGCTGTGTTGTTTCCTGAAACCAGATTGATGTGGAGGTAAGATGTTAAATGAGTCCAGGTAATTTTTGATTTGAGAGTTTATCAGTTTTTCTAGAACCTTGGCTAAAATGCAGAGTTTAGAGATTGGTCGATAGTTTTTCAGTGTGGTGGGGTCACCTCCCTTCAGCAAAGGAAGAACAAAGGCTGTTTTCCAAGTGTCTGGGATGGAGTTTTGTCTTATGGAGAGAATGAAGATGTGGGTCACAGGGACTGTGATGATATGAGCGGCCAGCCTTAAGAAATAAGGTGGAAGTTCATCTGGACCTGCAGATTTTTTAGGATCAAGATCTATTAACAGTTTATTGACCTCACTGACTGAGAATGGAGAAAAAGAGAAGGTGCGATTAACTGAGGATTGACTTGTAGGAGGGATTTGATTTGTAGAAGTTTGGTTATTAAGTGAAGTGGCTGATCTTCCATTAGTAACTGTGTCAAATAAAGAACCAGAAGCAACAAAATGTTTGTTGAGATAGTTCAGGATTTCGTGCTTATTTGACACAGGAACAGAGTTAAAGAGAAGTTGTGATGGGAGGTCAGATGATTGGGGGCTGCCTGAGAGAGATTTGATGGTTTTCCAGAATCTGTTAGGGTCATTTAGATTTTTGGAGGTCTGAGATAAGAAATAGTTGCGTTTTGCAGCTTTAACAGCAGTTAAACACTTTAATAGTGTTAATACAGTTTTTATACTTTTAAATGGGGTATTTTTCATTAAAGACATAATGAACAAAATGTTTAATTTCAACTTCCAAAATTTACAGTTTTGAGAAAATTAACAATATCAAAAAACTTTTAAACTTTACCTATTCACATAATGAGCATAATAAATGCATGTATTTATTTTTTTAATAAAGTGGACTGGATTTAAGTCACAAATGGCCCACGGGCCACCAGTTGAATAGCCCTGATCTAAAGTAATTTTCCTGCAGTTTTTTTCTCAATTTTATCCATTTTATGCAATGTACCACTACCAAAAATAGAAGCACACTACTCCTGGATATGCCAGACATTTTGTTGTATAATTAGCATGTTTTATTTCAAAATATAAAAGATAATGGGGAAAAAAAAAACTTTGAATAGGGTAGCAAATAAGCAGATGTTTTTGTATTACTGGTGTAATTTGATAGAGACTGGTGAAGGCTGCACAGAAGATTGTCGGAGTCAGCCTTCCCACCATCACAAACATCTACAACTAGAGATGCAGGAAGAGAGCCACCTGCATCATGAAGGACTCCACTCACTCAGCACACATACACTTTTTGCCCCGCTCCCCTCAGGAAGGAGGTTGAGGAGCATTAAGTGTAGAATCACTAGACTGAGGAACAGCTTCTACCCTGAGGCTGTAAATCAAGATTAACACTGTGGAAAAAAAATCACTGTAATTCCACTTGATTGTGATATCTGCTGCTGATTATCCATGCTGCTGATCTTATGCTGCTGATTTATTTCATGTTGCTATGTTCATTCGTACTCATCTGCTCACACAGACTCATGTTTGTGTTGCTGTTGTTTGGCGTATTGTTTTTGTACTACTAGTGCTTAGCGTATTCTTAGTTTAGCGTATTTCTTAGTTCATATCTTAGATCTTATTACTGTTTTTCTTTGCAATTTATACTTTTGTTGGATGTAACTTGGAGTGTCGATCCTGTGTACACTATTTTGTTTCACCACACGTGGTGCCAACAACAAATAAAGAAACCTTAACCTGATGATAAACATCAAAACCATCCATCCATCCATCCATCCATCCATCCATCCATCCATCCATCCATCCATCCATCCATCCAATATCTTTACCCACTTTATTCTGTCTGGGTCATGGGGGTCACTGGTGCCCTTATCCACCAGTCGCTGTGTGAGAGGGGGGCCTGGACAGGTATCCAGACCATCACAGGGACACAGAGACAAATGAGACAAACAACCATTCACTCTCTCACTCACATCTAGGAACAATTTAAAGTTACCAATCAGTCTAACATGCATATTTTTGGTCAGTGGGAGAAAGCCGGAGTACCCGGAGAAAACCCACGCATGCACGGAGAGAACATGCAAACTCCACCCAGAAAGGCCCCTGGCCAGGAATCAATCCAGCAACCTTCATGCTGAGAGGCAACAGCTCTACCAACTGAGTCACTGTGCTGCCCTCATCAAAATCAGCTTTAATAAAAGTGTCACAACTCTGGCTTTATTCTTGTAAGAATTAGAAAAATGCCCATGTTGAACTTGTAAGATAACGTTTCAACAGAAATAATGGTTTCAAGCAAAGACCCTCATTAGAAGTAAGTCAGGACGTACAGTAACTCACTCACCGTTTCTAGGTGTTTGAAGCTGCTTTCCAAAGTCTGCTGGGCCTTTCTGACATCCGCCAGGAACTGGGAAAGGAGGAGTGTTGATGAATGAGCTTCATCTATTGATAAAAGCACAGTAATCTGAAATCTGTCATTCCTCCCTCACCGTTTTGCGTTCCTGTTTGAGCTCCTGGAGGTACTTGCTGAGGTCATTACAGATATTTTCAACCATGTTTTCGGCAATGAGCTCTCGTTGTCCGGAGTAATCATTCAGCTCTTTCAGGATGTCCTGGAAAGATGCATAATTGCTATATCTACAAGAGAAAAGGAAACATCGGCCGAAAATAAATAAATAAAATTAATCTTGCATATGCCAACCAGAAATTACATTCACAACACAATTTGTTGGTGGAATCTTTTAAATGAAAATTACAGTATAAGTAAGAAAAAATAAACACGTCTCAGTGCTGACATCAAGCAACCGGTGAGTAAAACCTAAGGCATAAATCTGGCTAATCAGCATGCCAAAGCATGGATTCAACTCTCATAGTAATTACCTTAGTCTATAATTAAAGGCTTAATATTCCTTGAAGCAATCCATGTCGCCTGCTGCCTTTCATGACAAAGGTTTAGACCAAAACCACAGTTTGATAAGAAATAAAAGCTGTGGTGCAAATCTTGTAAATTACATTATGTATGACCTCATTCAATCTTGCGAGATCATTACCGGTAGTATTTAAGAGTATGGGTTAGAAAAGACACTCAGCTACTACCAGGAGCGATTAGAATCTGCCCTTTAGAAGTGCTTGGCCTCAGTGTTGACAATGGCTCTTGGCTTGAACAACGTGGTGGCCATTGGCATCTGAAGAATTTGTAGTGTGTGTGTGTGTCTTGGAGGGGGGGGGGGGGGGGGCTCTGGTGGCGGGGTCTGTGGGTTCTCCCCCAGAAAATTTTAAATAAAGTAGATGTCATTTCCTGCATTCAGGTTTGGTTTATTTGTCATATGCAAAAATCAACACAAGGTCAAGAATGCAAGGAAATACCGAGGACGAGAAGAACAGTCTCGACTCGCCAACAAAGAAATTACAAGAAATACCAAATCATGCAGCAAAAATACAAAAAACAAGGCACCAAAAGTGAAAAAGAAATACATCTACAGTGTGGTTTGGTTAGCAGTGAGGATCTTTCAGCAGCATGGTTCTGTTCTGTTAGCGGCGTAGTCTTGTTAGCAGAGTTAGCAGGTCTTGTTAGCAGGTCCCACAAGCAGATTGATGGTAATAACGACGGCAGCAGCTGCCCTCCCAGACTGCCCTCCAGAACTGGGTTCAGCAGACAGAGAACATCCAAGATTTCCCCATGGAACCGAATGGGTCCCTAGAGTTCGGTTCGTGCAGGCAGATGGAGGATCATGGAGACGGCTGCCATGGCAGGCTCTAGCATGAGCCCGAAGCTGGAGGGGGGTCAGGAACGGAACCACGATGTAATGACGTCATGACAGCGACACAGAAAACTCCAAAAGTGCGTTGCGGTCATACCCGTAACGTGGGTGTGTAGTGTAGGCACAAAAAATGTTAAAACAAGAACAATAGGAACAAAAGAAGATGGAGTCGAAGCGGAGCTCCTGTCAGTGCTACCATTCTGCAGCGCTCGTGACGTCACACATCGTTCTGGTGCATTTTAACGGGTTGCTAAACATCTACATTTATCTACATAAGTAAACACTTGATTCAATAACTATTTTAGAGAGCAAAGCACAACAAGAAGTAGCCTGACCAACAGCGCTCCTTGTGTGAATAGAGCACGCTCCGCTTCTCTCATACATTCTTACACCCGCCCCACCCCCCCACCTCTGACCCACAGCTGCCAACAACAGTATTGTGGTGAACAATACAGACGCATCAGCTAAGATGCTACAGACGTAGCACTCCACTTCTCTCATGCGTCCTACTCCCCAGCTCCTGAGTTAAGGGGCATTTCACTTCAGGAAAAATTGAGGTCACTGATTGGTCAGTTGCTGACTGGACTGATTGACAGGTGGCGTCAAGGATCCGACTCATGCAAAATCAATCAGATTTTACTGGCCCATTTAAGTGTCATCATTTATTCCATTTTGTTCCAAATTTATTTACATTTTTTTCGTGAATGTAAGGTTTGAGAACAGAGTTTCTTTACACAATCGTAATGATGGTTTCTTAATTTTTCAGGGGTGCTAAGTTAAAAGTTAGAAGTGCTTGAGCACCCCCAGAAAGAGGCTAAAATCGGAACTGGCTACCACCACGCCTACTTGAAGCTAAATATATTTTTAAAAAATTGTGAAAACTGTGCAATATGCATTTTTGTATTTATTACACTAAAGTACTTATACACTTTGTATTTATGACACTGCAGGAGGCACACAAACATTACCAACATGTCCATAATGATGCTTTAATTTGAATTCTGAGAAAACAAAACAAAAAAATGTGTCAAAATGATCATTGTTAAAGCATTTGCAGGTGTGGCTCAGCAGGGTAATTATTTAAGAGTGCTGATAATTTCAACTTCTAATCAAAAGGCCAAATTTACAATCAACTTTTGTAAAATTTCAGACAGAATAAGTTTTACAGGTAAAGGACATGATTTATCCTTGATCTCAAGTGAACTTTAGTTCAATCTGTTTTGTTTTTTTATCTCTACCTGCATCTTCATCAGTATCGTTTTATCTTTATTTTCTGCATGAAAGTTTCCTTTAATTACTTTGTGCACATGATCCATCTAATCTTTACAGCGTTGTGGAGACAGCAGTTTGAGCAGCAATCCCCCTGACCTCTGTCTCTCCACAGCCAAGGGTGGTGTCATTTTCTAGCTGTGAAGTATAATCTTTTTAGTGAAACCAGGGTTGGCCTCTCAGTGTCTGAAACACATGCAGAAGTCGCCCAAACCAGCTTTATGCTGAGCTCCTCCCGAGTAGCTAATATGAACAATTATGACGTATTAAACCAAACATTTGTGTTGTAGAAATGATATAATAGTGTGAATGCATCACAAACAATGATGAGTCCAGCTACAGGCAAGAGGTGGAACACCTGGAGAGCTGGTGCAAAGAGAATAACCTTCACATCAATGTGAAGAAGACAAAGGAGATGATTGTGGACTTCAGAAGGAACAAAAACATCTACATCCTCCTGAACATAAGAGGATCTGCGGTGGAAGTGGTCTCCAGCTACAAGTACTTGGGTGTACACATGAATGACAACCTCAGCTGGAGCAACACCACCACCAGCCTGATCAAGAAAGCTCATCAGAGACTCTACTTCCTCAGACGGCTGAGGCGAGCTGGTCTGGGAAGCTCAGTCCTCACCTCCTTCTACAGGTGTGCAGTGGAGAGCATCCTGTGCTCGAGCATCAATGTGTGGCATGGAGGCTGCACAGATGCAGAAAGAAAAACTTTGCAGAGAGTGGTGAAGGCTGCACAGAAGTCTGTTGGAGTCAGCCTCCCCACCATCACAGACATCTACACCTCTAGATGCAGGAAGAGGGCCACCTGTATCATAAAGGACCTCACTCACCCAGCACACACACTTTTTGCCCCACTCCCCTCAGGAAGGAGGTTGAGGAGCATTAAGTGTAGAACCACTAGACTGAGGAACAGCTTCTACCCTGAGGCTGTTAGACTCATGAATCTCTAACCAGAATAATCACTGTGAAAAATCATATCATGTTGCTGCTGATCTGTTTCAATGTTGCTGCTGATCTGTTTCAATGTTGCTGCTGATCTGTTTCAATGTTGATGTGTTCATGCGTGCACATCCGCTCACACAGACTCATGTTCATGTTTGTGCTGATGATCAATATTTTATGTTATGAGTGCTTAGTGTATATTTTGTTGATGTTTTTCTTAGTTCATATCTTAGATGTTATTACTGTTTTTCTTGTAAATTTTATTGTTGGATGTAACTGGGAGCTTGTGTACATAATTTCGCTCCACCACATGTACCACATGAGGTGCGAATGACATTAAAGAATCTCTGACTCTGAATGTTTATGAAGTAGTCACACTATTGTGATCTATGGTATTTTTTCCATAGGTTTTTCATCATCTTTCTTGTCCCACAATTTTTGTGCCATTTCAACAAATCCCCAATCCTGTTATGACTTTTGGTATTGGTGCAACTTTAGCTTTTTGAAATATTTAGCCTTTTTTTGCCACTTTTTTTCCTCATAGAAAATTAATTGAGTTCATTTTACATCCTTCAAATCTTTAGATGTGTTTACAACCTTTTACTGCTCCTTTCACAGTTTGTTCTGGTTCAGCTTCTTTCAGCTTCCTTGTGCAAATTTAAACTTTTTTTTCCAGCTTCTTTCAGCTAAAAAGTGGATCTTTACTTTCTAGAATCAGTTGACTTATATCTTGTATTGCCTTATGTATCTCCTTCCAATAAGTTTTAATTACTTGTCAGTCCCAAAAATATGGTAATGATGTGCACTTTTATTTCCTCAATTTCTCCATCAAGCTGGAGAGTTACCTTTATAGTGGGATTTTTGGTAAGGTGTAATAAAGTATCTTATCAAATGTTTTCACCCAAATTCCTTCCACCTCAATGAGCTGCTACATTTCCACCTAATTAACTTCTTTATGCTACTTTCAGCTTAATCATGCTAGTTTCAGCTTTTTCCTGCTATTTCAGTTACTATTTAGCTGTTTTATGCTCATTTCAGCTTTTTCTGCTTCCTTCTGGGAGTTTAGGCTTCTTCTTCCTTTCAGCTAATTTTCAGCCTTTTTTTGTTGCTAATTTTACCTTCTATTTTTTTTAGCTAATTTCATAATTTTGTGCTAATTTCAACTTATTTAAACCTAATTCAGCAAATATGTGTTCTTTCTGCTTTTTTCTGCTAATTTAGGCTTGTTTTTCCATTTCAGCAAGTTTTTAAGCAAATTTCAGCTGTTTCTCAGCAAGTTCTTCTGCAATACGCATTCACACTGCATTTTTGCAGGAAATATAATTTCACTAGTTAGATTTATTTTATAAATAGTACTGTCAACAGGCGTACACTGGAGAAATATACACAGCTTTTTCCCTTATTGGCTATTTAAACTATGAGCAAACCAAAACCTCTGAACATGGCTATTTCACTTCTTGAAAAATGCTCCAATTTCTCCATCTTGTAATTTTTATGATGCAGCTTCAACATGAGCTTTGTAGCATTCTATCATGAAAGCTTTATGAGCATGTTTCTGCTATGGAGCAGGAAAAAAACCCATCTGCACAAAAAGCTGTTGCTATGGAGCGTTTTAAACAGTTAAATTTGTTTGCTCACTTGCAGTCCTGCTCGTCTTTGCTTCCTCGTTTGGTGTACTTCTTGGTCAGGTTCCTGTCATAGAGCGAATGAAAAGCATCAACAATCACATGCTTACAGAAATACACCAGTGAGCTGAAGACGGCAGTTTGATTAATTTATGGATGAGCCCACCTGAGCTGCTTGGCGTAGTTCTGTTCAATCTCCGTCCGCTCTTTTACAAACTTTATGTAACGCTCCACCAGGTCCAGGCCAGATTGGGTGTGCTTGTCAATGACTTCATACTGGTCCTAGAAGGGGCACAGCACAGAGAGACACTTGAATATTTACCAATCATGGGAAACACGGAGAGACAAACGTGAAATCAGTCAGAACCAGGTTTGGTAACTTTTTTTAGGACATGAACTATCTTGTCTATTTTATTTTAGTCAATGCAACAAGTTAGTGTCTTAAAATGTTGATTAGCTCTTCTTTATGTGGGGTTTCATATAAAAGGTTATGAACAATTAATATTTTACATGTTGTAGGAAGCTCTTTGAATGACCTCAGTTTGAATAAATAGTTTAATTCTGAGCAGCCTAACGAGCTAACAGCGTGTTTGAGCGTGGCTAAGATCAAAGTGGATTGAAGCTGTTTTGAAACAACTCCAGTCTCAAAAAATTTAGTTTGCATGAACACTATTTAATAGACAATCATGCTGTCAATTTTGCATCACATGGTTATTTCCCATAGCTGTAGCACTTCCACTGCAGCCTAAAGGACGAAACACACAGGCAGCGCATCAAAAGTTACACGTTTATTATTTTCAGGATCCTCGACACCAGCTCTGTTTTTAAGTGTCAAGATCCCTAAAAGAATAAAGTTTGTATTTGTACTTATTGGACCCCTGTGTTTGGGTATTTCCAGGGCTTAATTTGAGCCAAAATATCCAGTTATCCATGACCTTAACTGAAAAGATATTGTGACTTGATCCAGCGGTGAAGATATTGGCTATACACATAGGCGTCGCAACCATTATATGTGAATGGGACAAGTCCCCTCCACATTAAAAACACGTTCATTTGGAACCCCCCCCCCCCCCCCACACACACACACACTTTTACTATGAAACATTAGTTCAGGCGGCGCAGTTTCTTTTTCTTCGTGAACAAATCCATTCCACTTGATCAATAGGAGGATACTCAAGCCACTAAAACTCCACTCCAGGTTTTCCTGGTTACCTCCAACTCTACACACAGAGCAGAAATTTTGCAGGCAGCAGCTGCTGAGTCTCCTGCTTCGGCAGAAAACGCACACAGGTGGAGGAGATGGAGACACCTCTGTGTTGCTCGCTTGCCACTTTAGTGAGCTTAGTGCAGGCAGTTGTTGACCAGGGGTGCTGCTCATAAACATATATTCATGTTAGGATGCTTGAGAGGAGCGCTACATCTGTAGCATCTTAGCTTAGCAGTAACTGTGATGCTGTAAGACGCTGCAGGTGTGAGAGACGCTGCAGGTGTAAGAGACGCTGCAGGTTTAAGAGACGCTGCAGGTGTAAGAGACGCTGCAGGTTTAAGAGACGCTGCAGGTGTAAGAGACGCTGCAGGTTTAAGAGACGCTGCAGGT